ATAGGAATATTGTGTGCGTCACTGCCCGATTCTTCACCTTGGAACCCAGGATCCACAGAGCTAAAGAAACAATTTATCCATCTAGTGTGTGTTTTCTTCTGATTAAATTACATATTGCAAACATTTTCAGATGTAAGTAAAATTATTTAGGAAACGGGAGGCCCCTTCATCCCTCTCTACAAAGATAAGTGCTATTTACAATTACAGTTTTTACAATATCTTAATTCCAGATTTTTCCGTCTTTGCGTATACTGTTTTTTTTTTTTTAACAAATTCAATTGTACATCCTGTTCTGCTGCTTTTTAAACTTAGTATATTCCAGCTACTTTATATGTCAGAGTGTGTATGTATATCTTTTTATTGAATACATAGAATTCCGTTATATGGATGACAAAAGCAGAATTTTGTCCCATATTGATAGACGTCTAGGTTGTTTCTAGTTAGCCCGGTGCTTTAGTGATTAGCGGAATTTTGGTAGCCATCTAGATTGTTTCTAATTAATTTAGTACTTCCATGAACATCCTTGTATAGGGCCTGTTTAAGAACTTAGGCTTTGAAATCAGATAGACTGGAGTCCTGCTCTTAATTGCCAGTGGGACCTTGGACTGGTTACTTAACCACTTTATGCCTTAGTTTTCTCATCTTCAAAATGGGGATAATAACAATACTTAACTCTTATGAATTGCTGTAAGATTAAGTAGTGTCTGACATAGGTGCAGTTGATGTTGAATATTATTACCACATATGTATTTGCATTCTTTTGTAGATGTTTCCGTAAGAAAAATTTTAAGTGGAATTTATTGTTCAATGGCATGCACACCTATAGTTTGAAATTAACCTTTACCAAACTGATAAACATAAGAAATCGCACTTTTAATTTGCATCTCTTCGTTTATTAGTAAAATAGAGTGTCATTTTGACTCATTTATGGGCCATTTGTATTCTATTAAATGCCTTTCATGTCCTTTGGCCATTTTTTATGTTGATCATTTCTTTAAATTGATTCATTTGGTTTCTTTGAATGTTATCCATTGGGTTGGCCAAAAAGTTCCTTTGGTTTCTAAGTATAAATGAAAGACCTTTTTCATTTTCACCAAGAATTTTATTGAACAGCATATTCACCATTTTATTCCACTACCTTCTGCCATTTTTCAGGCAACTTCATAATTCCATCTTCCTAAAACTTTTTATCTTTTTGAGCAAAGAACTCTTCCACATGCCATATATAGTCCTCCTTAATGAATTTTTTTTCATTAAGAGAATTTTGTAAAGACTGAAATAAACGGGAATCTGAAGATGCAATGTCTGGTGAATATGGCAGATGAGTCAGAACTTCTCAGAGAAGCTGTTAACAGTTTTTGCCTGGCCATCAAAGAAACATGGAGGCTTGTGTTACCCTGATGGAAGAATTTGTGTTTTCTGTTGACTAATTCCTGACACTTTTTGTTGAGTGCTGCTTTCAGTTGGTCTAATTGGGAGCAGTTCTTTGAGCTCATAATAGGGGACTCCTTTCCAACCCCACTACATACACATCACGTTTGGTATGGTTGGTGGTGGTTCATTTCACTTGCCCCATGATCTCTTCCATTCCACATTATTGTACAGTATTCACTTCTCATCACACATCACAATTTGTTTTAAAAATGGAATGTTTTTGTTACAGTTCAGAGAATCACAGGCAGAAATACAGTCAAGAAGTGCTTTTGTGCTTAACTTATGTGGAACCCAAACATCAAAGGGATTAACATAACCAAACTGGTGCAAAAGATTTTCAGTGCTTGATTTGGATATTTTGAGTATGTCAGCTATCTCCCACCACATGGCATAATGTTGATTGTTCTCAATTAATGTCTCAGTTTGATCGCTATCAACTTCAAATGGTTATTGTACCAGGGAGCATTGTCCAGCAAGAAATCTCCAGCGCAAAATTTTGCAAACCACTTTTGACAGGTTTGATGTTTGATCAGTCACAGTAGCTTCTCCATACACTGCACAAATCTTTTTTTTTTTTTGCATTTCAGTTGTGTTTCCACCTTTCTTGAAATAATAAAGCATAATGTGCCAGAAATGTGGCCTTTTTCTTCCATTTTTAATATTAAAATGGCTACACAAAAGTTCACTAATCTTTTTTTTTATTTTAATGCATTGTGAATGACATCTGTCACAATACAATCTGACAGAATTGTTTTGAATGAAGTTAAAGACAAATAAGCTCTACTAGAACCACCTTACAGGAAAAACCAAACAAATTCTGTGACCAACTCAATATGTTGTTGTGTGCTGCACTTTTTTCCAAGTATATCATTTGTTCGTTAACTTGTTATTCCTCTCATTTTTTCCCAACTCTCTCTCCCAGTTTTGGTTAGTGTGCCTTGGGAGTTTTGACCCATTCCATTGTAATTATTATTAATGTTACTACCACAGCAGTAAATTCCTAGAATTTTTTATGTCTTCTTAGGAAGAAGAATAAAAGTTAAATTCAGTATTATATACATGATAACAGTTGTTTAGCTTTCTAGATACTCTAGATACTCATAGCTACTTTTTCATACTTATAGCTGATTTTCCCATGCCTGAGTCTTTATTTTGAATAAATAGCAATTTTTCTCTAGTATATCAGCATGTCAGTTTTCAGAGTAAATTTTAAGTATTAGATTTTTCAAATAGTTTTAAGCATTTAATGAAGGCACAAACATACCATTTTAGAGTTCACCTTGTCTTCTCCAGTCCTAGAAGGAACCTAAATAGGAAGGAAACGTAAAAAAGAATGGATATATGTATATGTATAACTGATTCACTTTGCAGAAACTAATACAAGTTTGTAAGGCAAGTATACGCCAATAAAAACAATTAAAAATAAATAAATTGCATGATTTTCTTAAGAGCATAATGAAATCTCACACTATCCTTCTAGGAATGTCAACCACCCCTCTGTCCAGCATACCCCATGCACTAGTCACTTAGCAGTCCTCAGTTATCAGATGGACTGTTGAAGTATAGTGTTTGTGTGCAGGTAACCCTAATTTTACTTAGCAGTTGTCCCAAATCACAAGAGTAGTGCTGCTGGCAATTGCTTCCTTTAAGTGAAAAGGTGAAAGCTCTTGACTTAATGAGGAAAAAAATTGTATGCTGAGATTGCCGAGGTCTGGATAAAAATGAATCTCCTATTTGTGAAGAAGGAAAAAGAAATGCATGCGGGTTTAGCTGTTGACCCCCAAAACTGCAAAAGTTACAGCTACAGTGCGTGATAAATGCTTAGTGAAGTGGAAAAGGCATTGAATTTGTGAATTTGTGTTTTGGGTGAGGTGACATTCACATAACTTTTATTACAGTATATTGTTATAATTGTTTTACTATTGTTAATTTCTTACTCTGCCTGATTTACAAATTAAACTTTATCATAGGTATGTATGTAAAGGGAAAAACAGTATATATAGTATGGCTCTGGCACTATCCATAATTTCAGGCATTGACTGGTGGTCTTGGAATGTATCCCCCTGGGAGAAGGTGGGGAGGGAGAAACTATTGTACTACAGACTGGATGTTCTTATTTCTTCTAATTTACTAGCAGTTTATACTTATTGTTGAGCATTTCATTAGGTTCTAAAGAAATGAGATTGTGTAAACCTTCACATACTTTGCTGTCTTTCCATGCAGTTGTCCCAGTTTATTCATTTTTGTTTTTGAGAACTTAAACTGAATGGCCAGTGAGTATTATAACTCCAAGCACAGGATTCCTGTCACTAATATCTTGCCAAATGCATGAATATATGCGCTAATACATATTTGCTGAATTCAGTGGGTTTTGTGCCATTTCTAAGATACTGGGTGTCTTTGTCAGCTCTTGTTATTGAGGAATATTTCCTTCTTTTTTTCTCTTATAAAATATCAAATAAAATGGTAGTTTGTATGTGAATTTTTAACTTGTATATTTCTTGCAGAAGTTGCTGTAGATAAAGATACTTGATGTCTTTGGTCTGAATCAATTTATATTTTCTGAAATACATTTCTTATGTTTGTATGAACAAAGACTGATTGGAATAGTTATAAATTCAGTGATAAGAGATGCTGTAAATCTAGACTTATAAGTTCTAGGCTCCTTTAGGTTAAAATATTGTATTAATTTACCAAGTATAGCAGAGTGCAACTGTATGGTTCATCACCTAGAAATGTGTAGGTCTGGGAAATAAAATTTATATGTAAGAAACAAGCTAAAACAAGTCTAAGACCATGTATGCCCAAGTACATAATTTCCTCTAAAAATTCTAAGCAGCAGTAAATGTTTATTTATTTTTTAAATGTTTAGAAAATTATAATGAATATAATCTACTTTTGACTTGAGGTTTTTTTAAAACTAAAATCTCACATTAAAAAGTTCTGCAGCATAACAGAAATCAGGATTGGAGATTGTTAACTTAAAAATTGAATGGATTTTTAACCTTCATTAGGATATGTCATGTAGTTGCTGCCTTAAAATTTAAGTTCCTAAAAGGAAAAATCATATTTGTGAAACTTAATCTTTTCATAATTTAATTTATTGCTATATGCAGCTGTCATTTAATGTTTTTTGATGCAAATATTAGATTGGAGCCTCCAGGACTTGAGGTTCAAGTAAATTTCAAAAACAAATATTAAAAATTCTGCTCTTAGAGTGACAAAGTAGAAGACTTGGTGGAAGCTGCTTTTTTGCAGAGAATAAATTTAAAAACAAAACTGTTTTATCACTGAAAAAAAAAATAAATGAAACCTTAACAAAAATATAAAATCTGAGTCTGCTTTGTGAGGTATAGATTATCCAGTGTTGTTACGAACCAATTAAACCTTTTATTTTGTATAATGTTATTATGGAAAACAAATAAACTTAACTTTTTCTGTACAGAAGCATGATAAAAATTGATTTCACATTGAACTGCAGGTTCCTCTGGCCCCCTGCTGAAGGTCTATCCTGAAAATTGTGTGAATTTTCTGTTAGAGGGAATTTGTTGCTTCTGTTTATCAAGATGATTGCAACACCTTTGAAACATCCAGGAATTCACCTGTCTTCAGATACATCTTCTCAAAGAAATATGCCCATGCATGCGATCTTTTTTGACAGCATTCCTTCAGGCACACTTACTCCTGTAAAAGACTTGGTGAAATATCAGAAATCCGCTTTAAAACTGAATAATCATAAAAAGAGTCAGTTTGTAGAAATGGCAGTTTTTAATAATAAAAATGTATTTCAGTCTACCATGCTAGTGGAGGCTACCACCTCTAACAGTTCTCTTGATATCAGTGCTATAAAGCCCAACAAGGATGAATTTAAAAATAAGGCAAGCTATGAATCACCAGGAAAAATATTTCAAAGAATGAAAGAAAAAGTCCTACGCGACAAGCAAGAAGAAGCATCAGGAAACAGTTTTTTGGAACCAACACAAAATGAAAGTTTCACTCCTAATGGAACTGAGGAAAGAATATTAAAGCATACCTACCTCTGTGAAGAAAAGGAAAACAACAAATCATTCCAGCCAGAAAACAGTTCACTAAGAGGTTAGTTTTATTATGTGTTGGTTAAAATGCTATACCGTGTTTAGTGTTTATTATGTCTGACACTTTTAGGTACTCAGGGAACAGCAGTGAGCAAAATGAACAAAAATCTCTGCCCTCATGAAGCTAGCTTATATTCAGGTGGTGGCAGACAGATCATTAAATAAGTATTTTTTAGAATTATAATAGAAATGGTCTGGAAAGAGAAAGCAGAGTAAGCATGATGGGGAGAGTTGGAGCAGGTTTTAATTTTTCATGGGGTGGTCAGTGTTTCAATGAAAAAGTGATATTTGAGCCAAAAAAACTGAAGGAAGCGATAGATGCAGATAGATATCTTGCGGCTGGTACAAGTGCCCTGAAAGAGAAGCATGCACACTAGCTAGGAGATGACCAAGGAGTGAGTGGGCAGCTGGGGAGGAGGGGATAAATAAGGAGAGGGTCAGGTAATGTGTCTTTTAGGAGGGTCCTATAAGGGCCTTATAGGTAAATATAAGGGTTTGGGTTTTTGTTGTAAGCAAATTAAGGAGCCGCTAGAGGGTTTTGAGCAGAGGAATGTCGCAGTCTGACTTATATTTTAAAAGTATCACTCTAGCTGTTAATTTGAAATAGTTATTTTAGTATTCCAGGTAAGAGATGGCATTGGCTTGGTCAGGTGGTAGCAGTGGAGATAATAAGGAGTTGCTGAATTCCAGATAGATTTTGGTTTTGGTGGGGGGTGGGGGGGTGGGTGTTAATTTGTTTTAATATTTATTTATTTGGCTGCACAGGGTCTTAATTGTGGCACATGCGATCTTTTAGTTGTGGCATGTGGGATCTAGCTCCCTGTGCAGGGATCAAACCCAGGCCCCCTGCGTTGGGAGTGCGTAGAGTCTTAGCCACTGGACCACCAAGGAAGTCCCTCCAGATATATGTTGAGAGATGGGGATGTGGAATATAAGAGAGGTATAAAGGATGACCTGGTGATTGGTTTGGTTTGGGTTTTTTTTTTGCTCAAGCAACTGGAAGGATGGAGCAGTTTAACTGAGGTGGGGCAGACAGAGGTGGAATAGTTTTGAGGACTCAGTAATTATGTTTCTTGTTATGTCAATTTTGATATGTCTGTTAAAAATTGAAGTATAGATGTGAATTAGGCTGTTGAAAAAAATTAGTTGGAATTTAGGGAAATGGCCTACCTGAGAAATACATTTGGAGTCATTAGCACCTAAATGGTATTTAAAGCTATGAGATTAGATGGGATCATCAAGGAGTAAGTATATTATACTTGAAAAAACTGTGTATGTTGAAATGTTTCCAGAGAAAACATTTAAGGATAAGTTCTGGGGCACCCTGAAATTTAGAAGGTAGAATAAAGAGCAGAAAGTAGTGAAAGCCACTGAGATGAGGAAGAAAAACCAGAATGGTATCTTCAGAAGCCAGTAATTGATAAAGATACTTTACATGCATTATCTCATTTGCTCCTTTCAGCAAACACTGTGGATATATGCTCATTTAATAGTCTAGGAAATGGAGCTTTTAAATAAATTAACGTCTGCTCTGTGTCTCACAGGTAGTAAGTAAGTGATAAGCTGAGAATTAAATACAGATATCTATTAGAAAGCTCATGCTCTTAACTGCTTACATTATATATTGTGGGTGTATTGTTGCATTTCAAAGACTGATGTATTTTGACACAAAAGCAGTTTTCTAAGGGAGCTTAGGATGGAGGTAGGTGAATATACAAATAATCTCATACAGTCTAAGAGAAAAGGGAGAAGCAAGAGAAATAATGTACATTATAGCATGTTTTATATGTAAATTGGGATTAGAGAGAGGAAGACATAACTGACTGCTTTGAGAATCTGCTGACTTCCTAGAAAATACACATATATACAAACACAGATATTGTATATAATTTCAGAGATCTTTTGGACAGTCCCTACATGGATCCCTGAACTGAAATAAATGGCCTGTGTTCTGTACCATGTTGCATATGACTGAATTATCTACTCATCTGTACTACATTGCCCTGCCATTTCTAGTAGAATGATTTAAAGAAATAGAAACTTATCTATCTTTTATGACATATCATTATAATAAAATCTTTATATTGAGGTTTATAAGGGTAAAGCAACATACATATTAAAGGGTAATCACTACCAGTTTTTTCAAGTAAAATATTTGAAATTAAACATACAAAATAATTCAGTTTTTCCTTCACTGGTACAATTTTTTTTTTTTTTTACAATACTACTACTAGCACTGCTACATTTTATTTTTTTTTTCCATTTATTTTTATTAGTTGGAGGCTAATTACTTTACAATATTGTAGTGGTTTTTGTCATACATTGACATGAATCAGCCATGGATTTACATGTGTTCCCCATCCCGTTCCCCCCTCCCACCTCCCTTTCCACCCGATCCCTCTGGGTCTTTCCAGTGCACCAGGCCCGAGCACTTGTCTCATGCATCCAACCTGGGCTGATGATGTTTCACCCTAGATAATATACATGTTTCGATGCTGTTCTCTCAAAACATCCTACCCTTGCCTTCTCCCACGGAGTCCAAAAGTCTGTTCTATACATCTGTGTCTCTTTTTCTGTTTTGCATATAGGGTTATTGTTACCATCTTTCTAAATTCCATATATATGTGTTAGTATACTGTACTGGTCTTTATCTTTCTGGCTTACTTCACTCTGTATAATGGGCTCCAGTTTCATCCATCTCATTAGAACTGATTCAATTGAATTCTTTTTAATGGCTGAGTAATATTCCATGGTGTATATGTACCACAGCTTCCTCATCCATTCGTCTGCTGATGGGCATCTAGGTTGCTTCCATGTCCTGGCTATTATAAACAGTGCTGCGATGAACATTGAGGTGCACGTGTCTCTTTCAGATCTGGTTTCCTCGGTGTGTATGCCCAGGAGTGGGATTGCTGGGTCATATGGCAGTTCTATTTCCAGTTTTTAAAGAAATCTCCACACTGTTCTCCATAACGGCTGTACTAGTTTGCATTCCCACCAACAGTGTAAGAGTGTTGCCTTTTCTCCACACCCTCTCCAGCATTTATTGCTTGTAGACTTCTGGATAGGAGCCATCCTGACTGGTGTGTAATGGTACCTCATTGTGGATTTGATTTGCATTTCTCTGATAGTGAGTGATGTTGAGCATCTTTTCATGTGTTTGTTAGCCATCTGTATGTCGTCCTTGGAGAAATGTCTGTTTAGTTCTTTGGCCCATTTTTTATTGGGTCATTTATTTTTCTGGAATTGAGCTTCAGGAGTTGCTTGTATATTTTTGAGATTAATCCTTTGTCTGTTGCTTCGTTTGCTATTATTTTCTCCCAATCTGAGGGCTGTCTTTTCACCTTGCTTATAGTTTCCTTTGTTGTGCAAAAGCTTTTAAGTTTCATTAGGTCCCATTTGTTTATTTTTGCTTTTATTTCCAATATTCTGGGAGGTGGGTCATAGAGGATCCTGCTGTGATTTATGTCAGAGAGTGTTTTGCCTATGTTCTCCTCTAGGAGTTTTATAGTTTCTGGTCTTACATTTAGATCTTTAATCCATTTTGAGTTTATTTTTGTGTATGGTGTTAGAAAGTGTTCTAGTTTCATTCTTTTACAAGTGGTTGCCCAGTTTTCCCAGCACCACTTGTTAAAGAGGTTGTCTTTTTTCCATTGTATATTCTTTCCTCCTTTGTCGAAGATAAGGTGTCCATAGGTTCGTGGATTTATCTCTGGGCTTTCTATTCTGTTCCATTGATCTATATTTCTGTCTTTGTGTCACTGGTACAAATTTTAAATCTATTACCTTCTCCTTTTTATGTGAAAGAAACTCATTTCTGTATTCAAAATACAAAACTTTAACCATCTAGGATGTAAAGCAGAATAAAATATAAGCAGTGCTATTAGTTCCTGTTTGTCTGGTGATTAAGCCTACCAAATTTGTGTCTTTGAAGACCTGCTAAAGGGATGTCAAAGAAGTATAAATTATGACTTAGTCTGCTACTGAATCTCAACATTTTGATTTTTAAACCTGTTACAACTGTTCATCCATATTTTAGAAATTTCCAACAGCCAGAAGCAATATCAGAATTTTCAAGACAGGATGGCACTTGATATATGACTTTGACATAAACATATCTGATTTGTGACAGCACCAGAATTTTATTCCAGATCTCTAGGCTTCTAAGTCCAGTAGTATACTTGTGTCTAGAGCTGGCAGGTAATGTGGAGAAGTTTTTAAAAAATTCTTTCTCAGCATAATACAGGTATAGAGAGTGCATTGAAGATATGAGATAATAAAAAAGGGCAAAAACTTAATATAACTGTCATATATTAAAGTATATACTCTGTTGGTCTGATCACTACTCAATTTAAGTCTTTATTCCAAGATTTTTAAAGGTATTTTTTTTCTCTTATTGACTAATACAACTTCTTTCTTTAAAAAAAGAAAACTCAACCTCAGTCCAAGAAGTTCCTATGGAATCATCAAATAATATTTTTGTGCCAGTCAAGCAAAAGATTAAATATCAGCAGGGAAAGAAGGTGCCTCTGCACAATTTAACTTATGGTAAAGTGCTTTTTGTTTTGTTTTTAGTTTGTTATTTGAATGTATGGTTAAATGTTCTAGATAATTATTTTCCCTGTGTAGGCAATTAAAAGTTTTAAATTTTTCTATTGTTCTCTTTTCATTTCATATTATCCGTCTATAAATTTGGTTTGGTTTTGTATTTTTTGCAGAGCTTCCAGTTCTGAACCAAGAACATAAAAATGTTGCAGCTGCAAACAGGGCACTAACTAGAGCTCAGCTGGCTAGACAAATTCTTCACTCAAAGGAGAATACAGTTGCAACCAATAAATCCAAAAAGGACACGTTTGTTTTAGAAGACATTGATTCTACCTGTGAAAAGTCCCCAAATACCACTGTTGAGACTCTTTGTGGTCCTGATGTTGAGAATGGTGGTCAATTACTGGTTTCCGATGATAGTAAGATTACAGCAGACGGCACTTCAAAACAGGAAATTAAGGAAGGAAATGAGAAAACAATGCACAGAGAGACTGATTTTACAGGTTCCATGAATGATACTTGTAAAATTGTGCTTGCAACTCCACGATTTCATATAACAATACCTCAGAGATCAAAAAGAAATGCTTGGAACCCTTCTCCAAGTACAAGCCAAACTATTACAAATGGAATTAAAATTAAGGTAGGAAAACCTTTAAGGCAGATAAATACTTGTTTTCACCCTCATTCTTAAAGTGCATACGCTCTTTTGCTCTCTCATTAACAGGTTCATTTTGGGTTTTTGTTAATATTTAGTGTAGAGGCAATGTGGCCTAGTGAAATGAGCAGTGGATTAAAAGTAAGAAGACCCATGTGTGAAGTCTTATTTTGCTCTATCACTAGTTGCATAGTCTTCAACTCTCTTTGGGGATGAATACTGAGGTATTCTTGTTCTTAAATTTTTTTTTTTCCCCTGATTCTTGGTGTTCTATTAACAGAGCAGTTAAAAGGGAAAGGAGTTATAGCATCTAAAGATTTGAGCAGTTTTACTGTTGTAACACTGGAGTAGGAAATGGCAACCCACTCCAGTATTCTTGCCTGGAGAATCTCATGGCTAGAGGAGCTGTTCACATGTTAGCTTTGGAATAGAATACTAAATATAGATTACTAGCAATCACCTTTATAATTTACAGGAAATTAAATGCAACTCCAAATCAACTTTTCAAAAAAAATGCTCTAATTATACAGGGTTAAAAGTGATGATGAAATGCATACTACTGAACTTGTTTTCTCTAAGTTATTGTGTCTTTTGTGGCTTTGGTATTTTAATGGATACCTCAAGATTTTAGGTGACTTTTTCCCTTAGTGGTTAAGATATTTGACATAAGAATATTTAAGGTATAATTGATTCTGGATTTTATTAATAGAACAAACTGCAGTACAACTTCAGTTCAGTCTGTCTCCATCCTTTGTTTAATTATGCATAAGAGTTTTTACCTTATTGCTATATAAAATAGAATGTGATTCTTACATAGATGAACACGAAGGACTCATTTGGATTACTTGTATAAGTTTTTTCTTTTAATTTAATGTAAACTGATTTTGTAATGCATATGGTACAAGTAATATAAGAAATAATATATACTTCATTTTATGCTTTATCAGGTAGTCCAGCTACAGGAATGGATGATTAAAGTCATCAATAATAACACTGCTATATGTGTAGAAGGAAAACTGATGTAAGTATAACTTTTCAGTATTCTTCTAGTAAAATTTGTAATAAGAATATTTGTGTGTAAGAACTTACAAGGAGATACATGACAAATCGCATCTTGCTGTAAAACAAAGACTTTCTAACGAGGTTATAAACTGATGGCAGAAAAGTAAAGAGTATGACCATTTTGATTGTAACTAGCGTTCTTGCTTTTGCAAGAAATTTGTTAACTCACATTATTTTTAAAATAGTGACAGCTCAAATTTGCATGAACAGTGCTTTATTTTTTCAGAGGTTCTATGAAGTGGGCTGGGATTATCTGCTTAGTGATAATGATTGCTTGTAGTTAACGTTTACTGCATGCATTTCAGTCCAGAGTCTCACATCTAAGTTGGGAAAACCAAAACCAGATATGTATTTACTGATCCAGGAAAGAAATCAAAATTATTTAGCAGTGCCACACTGCTACATGTTAAGTAATCACTGGCACTTTATGGTTTTCCCTAAAATGAAAGCATCCTTTGGTAAGTGGGCTTTGCCTAAGTGGGCTCTGCTAGTCCCATTTCTTATTCTTCAAAACCAATTTTCTTAGTGGTTAAAAAAAAATGTAATAAAAGGTTGTAACAAAACAGTACACTGTATCACGTTTAGAGATACTTACCTGGAAGTTTATGAGTATATAAAATCTGCCTTGCTCACCTTATTTCTTGCTTGCCTTGCACCCACTCATTTCCTTAATATCCAGAGGCAGCACTGATTGCCTTTGTTGGAATCCCATTACTACTGCTGGAGAAGGCAATGGAAACCCACTCCAGTACTCTTGCCTGGAAAATCCCATGGACGGTGTAGCCTGGTAGGCTACAGTCTATGGGTCACTAAGAGTCGGACACGACTGAGCGACTTCACTTTCACGCATTGGAGAAGGAAATGGCAACCCACTCCACTGTTCTTGCCTGGAGAATCCCGGGGATGGGGGAGCCTGGTGAGCCGCCGTCTATGGGGTCGCACAGAGTCGGACACGACTGATGTGACTTGGCAGCAGCAGCATTACTACTGCTTACTGGCTGTATGACTTAGGCCAATTACTTACCCTCTTTCAGTCTCATTTTCTTCATTTGTGTAATGATGATATAACATGACCTACTTTTTTAATTATTTGAGGGTTAAATGAGTTAATATTTATAAGACTTTGAGAACAGTGCTTGAGTACTATTTAAATATTTGTTAAATAAAATAGTGAAAGTCACTCAGTCGTGTCCAACTCTTTGTGACCCCATGGACTATTAAGTCCATGGAATTCTCTAGGCCAGAATACTAGTGTGGGTAGCCTTCCCCTTCTCCAGGGGATCTTCCCAACCCAGGGATTGAACCCAGGTATCCCGCATTGTAGGGGCATCCTTTACCAGCTGAACCACAAGGGAAACCCAAAAAAGAACAGAGGATGTGAGAATATTATGTTAAAGTATAACATATGAGTTTAGTTCCATTTGACCAAACTAAATGACCTTAACTTTCTCATTTATTATGCTTATATTTAGAATGTTTATTACTAATCTAATGAGTCAGAATGTTCATTTATCTAATATATTTTAAAATTTTGTTTTCTCTATATTTATTCTTGGCTTCATGTAGAGAAATATAAAGAGTAGATTTATGGGTCAGTAGTTTGATGCTGCAGTTTGTTTTTTCACAATTGGAACCTCTTTTGGTGCTTTCTAAAGAGGAAGGTAAAGACATTTGGCTAAAAAAAAAAAAAAAGACATTTGGCTATATGTTGGGGGTGGGGGGTAACACAAGAGTAGAATAATTCAAACAATATAACTGCTTGAAATCTAACTCAGCATAGGCCCTGAGGAGAGTGACAGGGAAACCATCCTTTGGTGGTTTGGCATCAGTTGAGATAGAGTTGTGAGCTTTATTACCACAAGATATTTAGAGAACTCCTTGCTTTCTTGCTAATGATACATTTTATACTAGCCACATGGTTTGGCCATAGTACAGTTTCTTGTTATTCAGGTTCACATTAGCCAAGAGGTTGAGTTCTGTTGCAGTGTTTGGCCCTCAAATGTTTTGTAATTAGATTGATAGCATTGTAGCCGGAGTGCAAATTTATTCCTGTTACAATTTTATTACATGTGTGCATTGTGACTCTTGGTAAAATGTGAATATTTTGGCTTTAACTAAGCTTTTTTTTTACCCTAGAGACATCACCAACATATATTGGCACAGTAATGTAATTGTAGAACGGATTAAGCACAACAAACTTAGAACTTTATCAGGCAACATTTATGTACTAAAAGGAATGATAGACCAAATTTCCATGAAAGAAGCAGGTAATGACTGTCATTACTAATTGGAAGAATTACTTTACTAAGTGAAATAATTAACCATATTTCAAACCATATTTTTGCTTTTAATTAGGTGCTTTAAAATTACATGTCAACACTAAAAATTAAAAAATACTGCCAAAATTATGTAAAACTATTATATATGTTGATCCTTTATTATGATTTACAGTTATTGACAGTTTAAGTTCAGTTATTTCAAAAATATTCAAATGAAATGTTCCTTATTTGTGAGGAACTGGCTAGAAGAATATAATTTAGCTCCCTAATTCCTCTTTTGTTAAGCCTGCCCGGCATAACCCTAGTCCTGATACAATCTTATTTTCTGTCTATGCCTGCTGCTGCTAAGTCACTTCAGTCGTGTCTGACTCTGTGTGACCCCAAAGATGGCAGCCCACCAGGCTCCCCCATCCCTGGGTTTCTCCAGGCAAGAACACTGGAGTGGGTTGCCATTTCCTTCTCCAGTGCATGCAAGTGAAAAGTGAAAGTGAAGTCGCTCAGTCGTGTCTGACTCTTAGCTACCCCATGGACTGCAGCCCACCAGGCTACTTCGTCCATGGCATTCTCCAGGCAAGAGTACTGGAGTGGGGTGCCATTGCCTTCTCCTGTCTATGCCTAGTACACAGCTAATGTGACTAAAGAAAAACACACCTGAGTAGTCTACTTTAAATCTATGACTACCAGCAACAAACTGTGGCCACTTGGTATCCTACCGTAGGTCCCTAATCCATTCATTCTCCCATCATCCTCGATGACTATTTTGTATTTCTACATCTCTCCTGCCTTCCTCTCAGCTTGGTGGGTGGGGGAACAAGAAGACTTGAGCAACAGGAACAATCAAAAGAGAACTTTTCTGCCACATCTCTTATCTGCTTGTATTTGTACCTGCTTTTATTGGGCAAGCCTCCCACATTCCTGTCTGTGTCAACCTGTTTATACTTTAGTTCCTACCCTCTTTTACTCAAAAATATCACTCTAGTAATTCTCCCTTCCATCACAAAGAAAACCAAAACGAAACAGTCTTTTGTGTAAAAAAAATCAAGGTTGTTAGAATGTATTTGTATTTAAGAGATCATCAACTTAAAATAATCATATATATATGTTACATAGTAACCTAATGGTAATCACAAACCAAAAATCTATACTAGATATACACACACATATACACAAAAGAGAAAGGAATCCAAAGGTAACACAAAAGATAGTCATCAAAAGAAGGAATAAAAAACTACAAACACAACCAGAAAACAGTTAATAAAACAGCTATAACTACTTTAAATGTAACTTTAAGTGTAAATGGACCAAATGCTCCCAATCAAAAGACAGGGCAGAGTGGCTGAATGGATACAAAAACAAAGAGACTCCTTTCAAATCTAAAAATAGGAGACAGAAAGTGAAGGGATGGAAAAAGGTATTCCATGGAAATGAAGCCAAGTTAGAAATGCTTATATCAGACAAAACAGACTTTTAAACAAAGATTGTAATAGAACACAAAGAAGAATATTACATAATGGTAAAGGGATCAATAAAAAAAAAAAAAGCTATAACAATTGTAAATATACAGGTGCCCAACCTCGGAACACCTAAATACTTAAATAACAAAGCTAAAGGTATCCCACTCCCTGAATTCAAACTATGCTGCTAAGCTACAGTAATCAAAATAGTGTGATACTGGCACCAAAACAGCCACATAGATCAACTAAACAGAATAGAGACCCCAGAAATGAACCTACATGTATTTGGTCAATTAATTTACAACAGGAGGTAAGAATATAATGGGGGAAATGACGGCCTCTTCAGTAAATGATGCTAGGAAAACTGGATAGCTGCATGCAAAAGAAACTAGAGTACTTCCTCACACTGTGTCCAGAAATAAACTCAAAATGGATTAGACTTAAATGTACGATCTGAAACCATAAAACTCCTAGAAGAAAACATAGTGAACCCTTTGACAGATGTCTTAGCTATATTTTTCTAGATCTGTCTCCCCAGGCAAAGGCAACAAAAAACAAAAAAACAAATGGGACAACATCAAACTAAAAAACTTTTGTACAGGAATAGAAACTGTCAACAAAATGATAAAGCAACCTACTGAGTAGGAGGACATATTTGCAAGCTACATTGCTGATAAGGGATTAATACCCAAAATACACAAAGAACGCATACAATTCAACATCAAAAAAAGAAACAGTCCTATTAAAAAATGAGCAGGGGACTCCCCTGGTTGTCCAATGGCTGACTCCATGCTTCCAACACAGGGGGCCTGGGTTCAATCCCTGGTCAAGGAACTAGATCCCACATGCTGCAACTAAGAGTTCATAAGCTGCAATGAAAGATCCTACATGCCACAACTAAGACCTGGTGCAGTAAAATAATTTTTTAAAAAGTTGGGCAGAAGAGCTGAATAAGTATTTTCCAAAAGAAGATATACAGATGGCAAACAAAGATGCTCAACATCACTAATCATCAGGGAAATGCAAATCAAAAGCACAATGAGATACCACCTCATGCCTGTCAGAATAGCTATTATCCAAAAGACAAGAAATAACATGCATTGGTGAGGTTATGGAGAAAAGGGAACCCTTATGCCATGTTGGTGAGAAAGTAAATTGGTATGACCACTATGGAAAACTGTGGAGGTTCCTCAAAAAATTAGTCAAGTAGAACTATCATATGATCCAGCAGTCCACTTTGGCATATTTTTCTGAAGAAAACAAAAACAGTAATTGAAAAGATAAATGCATGCCTGTGTCTACTGCAGCATTATTTATAATAGCCAAGACACCAAAACCGTTTAAGTGTCTACTGATGGATGAGTGCATAAAGACGATGAGGTGTATACATATACAAAAGAATATTATTCAGCCTTAAAGAATGAAATCTTACTATTGTGACAACATGGAGGGACCTACAGGTATTAAACTAAGTGAAATCAGAGAAAGATAAACACTGTATGACTCCACTTGTATGTGGAATCTAAAAACCACAGCAAATGAACAAGTCAAAACACAAATCGAGTCACAGATAAAGAGAACAGATGCTTGCCAGAGGGAGAGGGATCAGGGAATGAGTGAACTAGGTGAGGGAGATTAAAACATACAGAATTCTAGTTATAAATGAGTCACAGGGATGAAGGGTTCTGCAGTGAACAATATTCACATTGTTATGATACAATAATTTTTGATATAGTTAAAAGTATTGTAAAAATGTGGGAAGAGGATTTGGAAGGAGAGGTGCAGATGTTAAATCTTCATCTCTTATTTATAAATTTTAAAATTGCTTTTTTCCTTTTTATTGTATCTATATGAGATGGTAGATATTAACTATTGTAATCATTTGGGAAGATATATATTAGTAAGCCATCATGCTGTATACCTTAAACTACACTGTGCTGTGTGTCAGTTATTCCTTAAAAAAAGGGTGAGGGCAAACCCTCCTTTAACCACACTTCTTTCAGCCACTATTGCTCTCATTGACAGCAAAACAGCTCAGACAATTCATTATACTTAGATCTATTTCCTCTTGAATTCTTTTCCATCTTTTTTCTTGAATTCCCTTTAGTCTCTCCTTCATCCTCAGTTCTTCACTGCAACAGCCCTTATCAAAGTCACCAGTGGCCCCCACATTGCTAAATCCACTGTACACTTGACACGGTAATCATACCTACCTTCTTGAAATACTTGGCTTCTGGAATACCATATTTTCATACTGCCTCACTCCCTGTTCCTTCATAGTTTCTTTGCTTACTTTTCTTTCTTCTTTGCCTCTAAATAATGGAATAGACTAGGGCTCTTTCTATACTCAGTGCTGTGCTGATTTCATATTTTTTCATTCATTTTCTGTCTGTTCATTTGACATCTTCACTAGTTTGTCTACAGGCGTCTCAGAGTTAATATGTCAAAAACCTGATCTTCTCCATGTACTTCCACAGACTGTTCTCAAAATAACAACTAATTCAGTCCTGTTAAAAAGTAAGTCATACTCTTTGGCTCCTCCACTCAGAAATTTTCTATAACTTCCTATCTCACCCAAAGTAAAAGATCCGGTCCATAAAATGACGCCAAGGCTTTAAAATCTCTCCCAGCTGCCTCTGTTATCCATCTGCGTACTAAGTGGCCTCCTAGTTCTTGCCTCTCTTCATTTCACTTCAGCTACACCAATCTCTTTGTGGTTCTACAAACAAGCCAGGCATACTCTTGCTTCATAGCCTTTCACTTTGTTCCCTCTGCTTCCAGTGCTTTAACCCCATATTGCCACATTGCTCACTTCATGTACTTCAGGGCTTTACTCAAATGATGCTATTTCAGTGAGAACTTGTCTGTCCTTTTTTGAAATGCTGCCTGCCCCCTTTCTCCTCCCCTAAAATGAACAGACTGATACTGCTATTCCTCTTAACTGCATAATTTTTCTCCTCTTAACTGCATAATTTTTCTCCATAGCATAAATGACCACTCTAACAAATGAGATATATTACTTACTGGTTTGCTTTCTGTTTAGAAGGCAATTTTCATGAAGGCAGATTTTTTGTTGTTGTTGTTAACTGCTGAATTCCTCAGCACAGGCACTGTGTGCCTGGCACACAGTAAGCAATAGTGTATATATTTAAATTATTTAATAAATGAATGACATCAGTTTAAAATCTAGGCTTTCAGATAACTTCTGTTTGTTTATAAATAGGTTACCCAAAATATCTCATAAGGAAATTTATGTTTGGATTTCCAGAAAAATGGAAAGAGTACATTGACAATTTTTTAGAACAGTTAAGGTAAAGTAGTTTTTAACTTTTAAAACAAGGGTTGTTTCTTTTTTGGGTTGCGCTGGGTCTTCCTTGCTATGCGTGGGCTTTGTCTAATTAGAGAGAGTGAGGGCTGCTCTTCAGTTGCGATGCGCGGGCTTCTCAGCGTGGTGGCTTCTCTTGTTACGGAGCGCAGCCTCCAGGTGCACGGGCTTCAGTAGTTGCCGCACGCAGGCCCAGTAGCTGTGACGTGTAGGCTTAGCTGCTCCCAGGCACGCGGAATCTTTCCAGACCAGGGATGGAATCCATGTCTCCTGCATTGGATTCTTATCCACTGTGCCACTAGGGAAGTCAGACCATCTTTTAATTTTTAAAAAACAATCTTACTGATGTATAATTTACATCTGATAAACCACCCATTGTAGGTATAAAATTTGATGAGCCTTTACAAATGTATATACTGATATAACCAATGGAAAGTGCTTTTAAGTTCTGCTTTTGGGAATGTCCATTTTGAGCTATCTTTGACCTTAGATTTTCAGAAGGCAGTAACACTTTACTGGAACTTCTGTCATGTGGAATAAATCTAAAAGAAAAATTAAACCTTTGACATATTTAAGGAGTCATCTGTAATCACCTACCCTTTAAGAGGCATGCAGCTGTAAATAGGAGTCTGACATTCTGGGTCCTTTTTCTTTCATTCATTTCCTCAATTGTTACAAAGTGTCATCTGCTTAGCCAACTCTGTATCAGCACTGGGAAAACAAACAAGAATTTGAGTAATTCTTAACCTTAAAAACTCTTTAGGTTGTGTAAATTAATTTCATCACAGTGTAATGACATATAATATCGACTGGCAGCTTTCTCCTGTAAAAGGTCAATAGTATTTTCATGGGTATGCTGCTTCTGTCACAGCTACTTGACTCTGCCTTTGTAGTGGAAAAGTGACATAGACAGTACAGAAATTAATGAGTATGACTGTGTTTCAGTAGACTTTATTTACAAGAACAGGTGGCTGGCAGAATTTGTCCTGCTATTTTCTTGTATCAGCTTAAATAGGAAATACAAAAGTGAAGATAGTAAGAACTTAAAAAGTCATATTTGAATATTTTGACTTAAGATGTCATACATAAGTTCTTTGTGGGAGGAAAAGGGTAGAAGCCATGAAAGCTTAAATAGTGTAAAGATTCAAGGTAATCTGCTAGGGAAAAAAAGCTTTATCTGAGGGAATTTATTTATTTATGGGTTTAGTTTTTTGGTTTTGTTTTTTGAGAACCTATATTAGAGGAGAAAATACTATACTTGTTTTTAGGGCTTGTGAGAAGGAAAAAGGAAAGGCCAGACAAAACCAGAAAGCTGAAAGATGTGTTCCTGACATTCAAAAATCAATGAAAAACGATGCAAGGAAAACAAAACCAGATGTCCTCCAAAGAGCCACCACCACTTATGACCTTGACTGTGATTCTTTGGGTATGTTTGCTCTTTTCTTCTCTTGTTCATATTGTGGTATATTTTTAAATGAGCTCCACATTGTTTAATTGTTTACAGTGTATATAGTACTGAGTCCTTGACTTATACTGCCCTAAAATTTCCACTTTTTTTCACTAGTTAAGAGGAGAAACTGCAATCACCTATAGTCAGCATTCAGCCTACTTCATTAATTAATTCCTTTTAATTAATCAGTATCAAGGACACTGATAAACATAGCAGTGAAAGATGATTGTTGTTTCAGTTTTCTAAATGCAAGGTTTTAGGCTGCCAGCTTGCCTCAAACCTATATTACAGATACCTATATTTTTGTGCTAAATATTATTCCTATTAATAGACAAAATCAATATGCTTTCATGGAGGAAATGACATGTATTTTCTGAATGACCACTGCTATGAAGGTAACTGGCAGAACTGTTCTGTGTCTGTTCTTTACCAGAACTATAATCTGCCTCACATCCACCCAACCCCAAGATGAAATAGAGTATTTACAGCCTTTTCTAGATAATATAATGAGTAAAAGTTACTAGACCATGTTGTACAAATTTAGGCCATTTCTACCTTGACCTTATAACAAAGAGCTTTACAGAACTTCAAGAGTTCAGGACTGCTTCTGCCAAAAACATAACCCCATACTGGATGTAGATGTACCTGTATGTTATTCCTGCACTCCTACCACAACCTACTCCCCTGTCCCCACTGACACTATGCTTATCCTTTCTAGTACAGAGAAAGGAATAAATTAAATACATGGATGAATGCTTGTAAAATTCGCTCCTTAACTGTAGATCCAGTTCCTTCTCAACTCTTCTTCATTTTATCAAGTCATCCTATTTCTTATAAATTAGGCATATTGCTTATTGTCATTGCTAAAACCATCTTCAGTATTTTGGAGTCCTGGGGCTTTAGCACCTGGTATGTATTTTTTTACTCCCAAATTTAAAAATCCCTAAAAGTATATCTAACTTTATTATTCTTTTTTAGTCTTAGGTCTTATCATCTCCCTACCTCCATTCCTTCCTTTCACTTATAGTACTGTTTTTCAGGAATTTGAGTTAAATTGTGAATATTATTGGTAAAATATTTGAGACTACAGAGTAAAAGACTAAAGTTTGGTAAACCATTTTACATGCCAGCTGTGTCCATAGGAAAATCATTAAACAGACATTTTTAAAGTATCTTCTATGAACCTTGATCTATGTTAGCTATTAGGAACTTAGAGATAAATAAAATGAGATGCTTCTCCTTGAGAAGCTCACTGTAGGGGAAGATAATACTGCAATCTGTTTTGGATGTATCATTTTTCCACTGTGATTCATTAAATCATTGTTTTATGAAACTATTAAGACATTCAATGTCCTCTTGTCACATATGTTATTTTGAATGGTGGTAGTTGATGCTGCTATTATTTTTATTATCATTATACTTTCCATGGGAAAACCACTAAAATACATGTTAAAAAAACAACACATCTAACATTAAACAACTAAGGTTATGCAAAGGTGCCAGTCAATGATAATTTAAGATGATGTAATTGTGTATATATATTTTAATGATTTACCTAAAGTTTTGTTTTGCATATTTAGTGTTGTAATCTATATGTTTAGTATTGCTATTAAAGTGCTTTATCTCTACTATTATATATAATATACCTGATAGTATTATTATTATTATTATTATTTTTTTTTAATATACCTGATAGTATTATTATAAATGATTGTAATGTCAGCCTCCTTCACCATACTGTAATAATCTCAAGAGCAAGGACCATCCATTGTGCATCTTGAAGTACAGACTTCTATGAAATTAATGCCGTAACTTAATTTTGTGTAAATGTGGATTTTCAGAGTAATTTCATTGAAATCCTGCCTATCAGAATTTAAAGAGCCTTTTCTCTACACATTAGCAAGTTTAAAATTTCATATTGAGTTAAATCCATCTGCTTAATGGCATTTTTTTTTTCTTACTACTTCTAAATGAAAAGAAATGAAGTGAGGAATATTTGTAAGTGTTTAAAGAAGTAAAGAGGCAACAATACTACTTACACTACCAACTTCATACCGCTTAGGTTGAAGTATCCAGAATGGTCTGAATCTTTACTAAAATTATTTAATAAAATGAATAAGAATATTCAGAATAAAAAGGCTGTGTTCAAAATTAGAAAGTTCAGAATTTTCACATTTCCAGTTGAACATTTGAATCATGTTTATGAGGACTTAGAAAGAAATATATGATTCCATTGAGAAATCATATAGTAACTTCCTTGATTACTTTTGATTAGTGTCACTTCTCCATGAACTATAATTTAGAGACTCCTTTTTTCCCAGCATTCGGTATTTCCCAAAAGTCTTTCATTTTGCCATTCATCTTGTAAAATGGCAGACAGTATGTGTAAGTTGTTAGAGTATTTAACTATGATGGTTGGTATGATGATTTAAAGCTTGTACATATTTATAATTGTATAATTTAAAGTTAGAAATTAAGTGGATGTGGCTTCTGGTTTCTTAAGTTTCAAACTGGAGACTTTCTCTCATTTTAATTTGCTTTCTTTAGCCAATGACACAGTATAAGATTTGTTTTCCCAAGACCTGTTTTTGTTGTTATCCCATGATTCTTCATGGAGCTTTGGGGGATTCAGCAAAAATGTATCTCTGTGGCCTCCACTAGTGATGAGAATGGGGCCATGCAGATGGAGCTCCATGTTTTTCTAACTCTCCTTAACTAGGATAGTTTCTGTTCCATATATTTTATACCTAGTAAGGTTTTAGTAACCCAGGTGGTTTTCAAGTCAAAAGTAAAAACAAAGTTCTTACCATTAAGAATTTTTTTCAGTTGAAAGACAAGTATATAATTATAACACAGGGCACATTATCAAACATGATATTATTTGAAAGTATTCTGGAAATTTGAAGGAAAGCTTTCATTCAGTTGAGGGAATCAGGACAAAGTTTGTGGATAGGTAAGTTGGAAAACAGAAATGAAGCAGGTTATAGGACAGAACTGAAGTAGATAGTAGTTTCAGGAAATTTTCCAAGTAGAGTGAATGAGATTAATGAAAGTTGAGAAACAGTGAATTAATGGAATGTCATTCATATTGAGTACAGTGAGCAATTAGAACTATATTGATAAAGACCAGTGAGAGGAGCTATGTACATTAAGTATACTGTGAGACATATGGACAGATTGGTATAGAAATTAATAAATGTTAACAGTTGAAGGGGCAGTGATCTGAACAGACCAGTGCTTCAGGAAGCTTCATTTGACAGTAAAGTGTGTAAAATTGAGTTTGTGGGGGGAAAAAAAACAGTATATTTGTGGAATTTTTTTTTCTATATTTTGTTACTAATTTGAAATTTTGATCTTTGGTTTTGTCTTATGAAATTAAAGAGAGAACTAAAGAATCAAAAGTATCCATTGATATTCTAACATCAAAGGAACAGTTTTTCACAGATGAAGAAAGAAAATATATGATTGTTAATCAGAAGAAACCTTGTATTTTAGTGACACCACTTAAATCTAAAAAAATTATAGAGAAAAAATGCATGAACTATAATCTGTCATCTGATTCCATTAAAGCAGTAACAGAATTTGCATTGGGAAAGCCTCAAAAAGAAAGTAAAACAGACTCAAATGAAACTACAAGTCCAGTCAGTAAGCCCACAAAGACTTTAGAAGGTACATTTGAGTGTAGTGTGGGCCGTAATAGTGAAAATACGGAAGATTGTTTTGAACATGATTTCCTCACTGTCAACAACAAAATAAAAATACCCAGTCCTAAAAAGGAACAAACGGTCACCTCTGACTTTAAGAAAAATACAAGGTTATCAAAACTGAAGAAAATTGAAAATCAAGTAACTGTGTCATTTGACAAGCATCAGTCCTCACCAGATTTGTCTAATGAAGAAAGTGAAAAAGGAAAGAAATTTAGAAGGAAAACTGAGATTGTTAAGAAAACCAGAGCAATAAATACCGAAGAAATAGTGGTTCACCAGAGAAAAAGCACAAGAAAAACAAAGACAATCCCAGTGATGTCTGAATCTGAAACTGAAGAAAGTGAAAATGAATTTTATATGAAACAAAAGAAAGCTAAATGTTCTGCTAAAGAAAATCTTCAGAAACCTGATGTTGGTAATGAACTTCCAAATACCGAGAAAATGGGATCTGGTAAGACAAACAGGTATTCCTTGGAATGTTTGCCTGGTCTTACTCAGGATGAGGAATGGAATAAGAAAGAATTACAGAAACTTCATTGGTAAGTAGTTAGATTTGACTTTGAAATCTAGAATGGCCACAAAATAATTTATAACATAAAAACACCAACAAGAGGCTGATTTATGACTTTTAATCATTAAAATGGAAAATGTCATCCAAAGACACTTGAAGAGAAATGGAAATTTATGTAGGGTGGAGGGAAAATACAGATAATATCTAACTAGATGGCCATCTGCAGCCCACATATGAAGAAAGTGAAAGTGACCTTCTTTTCTTTTCATTCCCATTTAATATTTCAAAACAGTCCCGTCTTTCCCTCCCCAAAAACTATTTGAGGGGACAGATGCGTTAATTAATTCGATTGTGGTAATCACGTCACAATGTATATGTATCAAATGTGTATCAAATGATCACATGTATATTTTAAACATATAAAATTTTATCTGTCAATCATACCTCAATAAAGTAGGGGTAAACTATTTCAACAGACAAATGCAACTCTCTCACTTAGCTTCACATTTTAAGGAATATTTTATAATTAAATTTACTATTATAAAACCTTAAATTTGAACCCAAATTTGTAGGTTATTTAATAGAGTCTTTTCTCCCTCATTGATAAATGAAAAATTAGTCTCAAAAATTAGGTGATTTGTCCAGGGTTTCTTAATTACTGCTGCTTGGTAAACCAGGTATGGTAAGAATTGGATTTGGCTACATATACTTGAAAACCTGTTTCAGTAGTGTGGTAGTTGGTATTGGAAGCCAGGTCACAGTTGAGCAATGAAAAGTGAATGAGACAGTAAAGACAACCTAGATGGACAGCAAAAGATATGTGGCGATGATGGGGAACAGAAGGCGGCACAGTCATAGAAGGGAGTGAGGAGATAAGGGAACATGTATGTTTAGTTGCTTGCTTTTTATTAGATGACTCAGGCCAGAGTATAGTGGTATGCTGATGAAAATCATCCAGTACAAAGATAGGAAGAGGTCACTGATAAAAGAGGGAAGAATAACATAAAAACATACCACATTTAGTGTTCCATTCTCTTGTGTACCCCCAACTTTATAACATTTAGAATTCATTTTCAAATCTACTTTTTCTTCCTAAGGGATCTTTGTGCCACTGTACTCTTCCTTTCTCCATTTCCTAAATTTTCCTTCTGTCTTATTTTCAGGCAGAAGTTTTCTTATATTCCAAAGTTCTTGATTTTGGCTGCTTGCTCTATAGCAAAGTGTATTCCTCAGTGGTCTTTTCCTTCCAAAGCTCTACTTTTTTATATAGGGACTCCCAAATCTGTGTCTCTAGTTCTGAATTCTTGTACTTAGGTCTGTATTTCCCTTTGCCTGCTGGACATCTCTATATAAATCTCACCTACAGCTAACTTCGGGTCTTCCCTGATAGCTCAGTTGGTAAAGAATCTGCCTGCAGTGTGGGATACCTGGGTTCGATCCCTGGGTTGGGGAGATGTGGAAAAGGGAAAGGCTACCCACTCTAGTATTCTGGCCTGGAGAATTCCATGGACTGTATAGTCCATGGGGTCACAACAGTTGGACATGATGGAACAACTTTCACTTTCACAGCTAACTTAAAATGTCAAAAGCCAAACTTACTTTCTTCTGCCTGTCCACTTTGCTTAACATTCCTGTTTCTTAATGTGTAATTCTCCTAGTCAGCTAACTTTAAACTCTTTATTATTATTGGTTTTTAACCTTTTAAAAAATCATGAAGCTACCAGTATACTTAGGAGATGTTGTTAGTTAGGTTCCAGACTACTAGAATAAGGCGAATATCTCAACAAAGCAAGTCACATTAACTTTTTGGCTTCCTGGTGCATGTAAAAGTTATGTTTACACTATACTGTAGTCTATTAAGTATGCAGTAACATTGTATCAACATAAAAAGCCCACTGTATGCACCTTCATTGGGCTTCCCTGCTGGCTCAGATGGTAAAGCATCTGCCTGCAGTGCAGGAGACCCGGGTTCGATCCCTGGGTCAGGAAGATCCTGGAGAAGGGAATGGCTACCCACTCAGTATTCTTGCCTGGAGAATCCCATGGACAAAAGAAGCTTGGCAAGCTACAGCCCATGGGGTCACAGAATTGACTAACACACGTACCTTAATTTAAAATAACTTGTTGCTTAAAGATACTAATTATCATTTGAGCCTTCAGCAAGTCGTAATTCCTTTGCTAGAGGGGGTCTTGCTTTGGTATTGAGGGCTGCTGACCAGAGTGGTAGTTGCTGAAGGTTAGGGTGGCTGTGGCAATTTCTTAAAATAAGACAATGCGGTTTGCCACATCCATTGACTCTTCCTTTAATGAATGGTTTCTCTGTAGCATGCAATGCTGTTTGATAGCATTTCACCCAGAGTAGAACTTCTTTCAAAATGGGAGTCAGTCCTCTCAAACCTTGCGACTGCTTTATCAACTAAATTTATATATTCTAAATCCTTTATTGTCATTTCAGCAATGCTTTATCAGCTAAGTTTATATAATATTCTAAATCCTTTATTGTCATGTCAGCAATCTTCACAGCATCTTCCGTAGATTTCATCTCATGAAACCACTTTCTTTACTCATCCGTAAGACGCAGCTTCTCGTCTGTTCAAGTTTTTTCACGAGGTTGTAGCAATTCAATCAGAGAAGGCAGTGGCACCCCACTCCAGTACTCTTGCCTGGAAAATCCCATGGACGGAGGAGCCTGGTGGGCTGTAGTGCATGGGGTCGCTAAGAGTTGGACATGACTGAGCGACTTCACTTTCATTTTTCACTTTCATGCATTGGAGAAGGAAATGGCAAGCCACTCCAGTGTTCTTGCCTGGAGAATTCCATTGATGGGGGAGCCTGATGGGCTGCCGTCTATGGGGTCGCACAGAGTCGGACACTACTGAAGCAACTTAGCAGAAGCAGGAGCAGCAATTCAATCACATCTTTAGGCTCCACTTCTAATTGTAGTTCTCTTGCTACTTCCATCACATCTGCAGTAACTTCTTCCACTGAAGTCTTTAACTCCTTCAAGTCATTCATAAGGGTTGGAATCAACTTTTTCCAAACTCCTGTGAATGTTGATGACGCTTCTCATGAGTCACACATGTGCTTGATGGTATCTTCATGGTGAATCCTTACGGGGCGGGGGGGGGGGGGTGGTTTCAATTTACTTCTCTCAGATCCATCAGAGGAATCACTATCAAGAACAGCTTTAACCTTAGGAAGTATATTTCTTAAATAATAAGACTTTGAAAATCAGAGTTACTCCTTGACCCATAAGTTGCACAATGGATGTTATTTAACAGACTGAAAACAACATTATACAGAGTGAAGTAAGCCAGAAAGATAAACACCAATACAGCATACTAACGCATATATATGGAATTTAGAAAGATGGTAATGATAACCCTGTATGCAAGACAAAAAGAGACAGATGTATAGAGCAGACTTTTGGACTCTATGGGAGAAGGCGAGGTTGGGATGATCTGAGAGAATAGCATTGAAACATGTATATTATCAAGTGTGAAACAGATCGCCAGTCCAGGTTGGATGCATGGGGCAAGTGCTCAGGGCTGGTGCACTGGGAAGACCCAGAGGGATGGGATGGGGAGGGAGGGAGTAGTGGGGTTCAGGATGGGGAACACATGTAAATCCATGGTTGATTCATGTCAATGTATGGCAAAAACCACTACAAAAAAAACACATTAATCTTGTACATCTCCATCTCAGAGCTCTTGGGTGACCAGGTGCATTGTCATTGAGCAGTAGCATTTTGAAAGGAATCTTTTTTTCTGAGTTGCTTTCCCAGTGAGTTAAAATAATTCAGAACAAATGTGCTGTCCTCTAGGGTTGTTTCACTTATAGAGCCCAGGTAGAGTAGATTTAACACAATTCTTAGGGTTGCTCAGGTTTTTGAAATGGTAAATGAGCACTGGCTTCAACTTTAAGTCCCTAATTGCATGAAGCCAGTCATTGACTTTTCCTCCTTAGCTATAAAAGTCCTAGACAGCATCTTCTTCCAATACAAGGTTAAAATCTGTTGTTTAGTGCAGCCATCTTCATTGATGATCTTAGCTGGATCTTCTGGCTAATTTGCTGCACTTTTTACATCAGCACTTATTACTTCACTTTGGATTTCTGTGTTACAGAGATGACTTCTTTCCTTAAACCTCATGCCAATTTCTGCTAACTTCAAACTTCTCATCTGCAGCTTTCTCATGTTTTACCCTCCACAGAATTAAAGAGAGTTAGGGCCTTGCTCTAGATTAGACTTTGGCTTCAGAGAACCTTGTGACTGCTTTGATCTATCCAGATTGCTAAACTTTCTCCATATCATCAATAAAGCTGTCTCACTTTCTGATCATTTATGTGTTTACTAGAGTAGCATTTTTAATTTCCTTCAAGACTTTTTTCCTTTGCATTCACATTTGGCTAACTCGTGCAAGAAGCCTAGCTTTCAGCCTACATCAGCTCTTGACATGCCTTCTTCAGTAAGCTTAATCATGTTTATCAGTTAAATTTGCTTTCTTAGATACATACAGTTCTTGGCTCCCAAACAATGTAACAGTAACATCACAGGTCACCATAACAAATATAATAAGGAAAAAGTTTGAAATATTGTGAGAATTACCAAATGTGACAGAGACATATAGTAACCAAATGCTGTTGGAAAAATGGTGCCAATAGACTTACTTGACAGAGGGTTGCCATAGGCGTTGAATTTGTTCAAAGAATAAAACCCCAGTAAAGAGCAGTAAAACGAGATATGCCTGTGTAGCCTTTTTCTTGACACTACTCTTTTTCAGACCTTTAATGCCTTTTGCCTGAACTTTGGAAGTAGCTTTGTATTTGTATACAACTCCAGATTAGTTGTAATGTATTGTGTGGTTCTAACAAGTCAAAACCCTTCACTTGCATTCTTACTGATCTTCAAACTATATAAAGATTCTTCTGCCTTACATTGAGAGCAATAGTTGACTTCAGTTATCCTTTTCAGCTGTATCCCCCATTATTTCCTTTACTGTATATTCAAATCACCTAAGGGTATTCTGA